TTCAATCAAGTACGTTTTGTTACTTTCTACGTCTTTTTTTAGTATGGAATATTACGTGTTAAACATGATAAATATTTAATACCTAAAAAAACTGTCAATGAAAAAGGTTCATTATACTAATTTAAAATGGGTATCACATTCGATCAAATCATCAAATGTATATTTGAATGTCAATTTCACACACATTTTTTTTATATGTAGTTCGTATTATTATTTTGAATCTTATAATATTTAATATCTAAAATTCAAATCTAGTGTTAATAAATTTTGACTATGCCATTACGTTCAAACTATTGTAATATAAACTACTCCTATTTAAATTAAATTTGATCTTAATATTCATTTATTGTAAATTCGACTATGCCTTTACATAAATTAAAAAAAAAAATACACACGTAAATATATATAATTTCAACTTTAGATATTTGGAGAAGAAAGGTAACATTTAAATAAGCTCTAATCTAAGAGCTCTTTCGTGACCCTGATTTCTGGCTTATTAGATTTATCAGTCAACTTTTTCACTAAATATGTAACCTTCGATTTTGAGCACTAAGTTGTGTAAAAAAAGAAAAAGTAAGGTTGTGACTACTTTTCTGGCTATATTGGTTAAAGTTCTTGTAGACAATCATTTTAGCTGTTTTATCTACAAATTTTTCTTTATTTTATCAATAAAATATATTTTAAATATAATTTTTTCATAAATCGGCAGAATCAGCCAATGCAGCCACTTCAGACAGACGTTAATAAATTTCAACAGAATCAACCAATACAACTGATTTAGGTATTACCAAACGGGCTCTAAACATACCTTTTCATCGGTCAAAAGTAGCTCACATAATATAAGTTGATTTAGATTGGTTTGACGGACATTATCCCAGTGAATGATCGGCCAGCCTTCACATAAAGATCAACTTTGCTTTTTATTTGAGATCTCTTCCATGCAACCATATTTCATTAACGGGTGAGGACCTACCATTTTCAGGTGTAAGAATTATGTGACTATATTGGAGAAATTACCCTAAAAGGACTAAAAACGTTTGAATTTCCCAAAATATGATATCATGTTTTTATTATCAAAATATGAGTAATTACTGTTATGTTTTGGCAATACCGGACTTTAAACATTGCAGTATTTTCCAAAATTGACAATAATTACTTCTATTTTAGAAATAAAAACATGACAAACATATTTTGAAATTCTCGAACATTTTTGCTCCCATTTCACGATTTTTCCCATTATATTGTTGTGTATATACTAATTGTTACAATACTTATTAATTATTTATAAGATTGATTATATGACTAAGGATGAAATGAAGTAGTAAGAAATAAGAATGAGTTTCAGTTGGTGTATCACATATTTACATGTATTAGAGTCCTATTATGTGTGTTACAACTCATTATTTAAAGAATTTGTATTACATGAAGTGATAAAGAAATTTAACCTGGTTGCGTATCATTTTTTTTCTTTCTGGTTACGTATCATTAGTAGGTATACTTTATCGTGTTTTAAATATACTTTAGCTAGTGTAAAATAACTTTATCTTGTACATATGTTTTAATTTTATAATTTAAACATGTACGTGTGCGAGATCAAGAAATAAAAACTTAAAAGTGATTGAGGACTCTATTGTTTGTATGATTACGGTTGTACACTATTCTCTTTACTATATAAAACAATAGATATGAGGTTTTTCCTTAAATATCATTGAATTAAGTTAAACTCATAAATAAAAACGTGACCACTAAAAGCTACTAATATAGTTATTTCATATACGAGGTCACATTTGTGTTCAACACCTTTATTTTAGTAAATTGTACGTCATTATTTTGATGGTTACTGGACAACTGTCATCACTATTATCATTTGTATCATTTTGGAAATTGTTAAAGTGAACAACAACAACATTCAAGCCTTAATCCCAAACGATATTGGGGTCGGCTAACATGAATCGATACATGATATCCCAAAAGGAAAGGAAAGAAAATAAAGATAAAAAAGATAAGCTATTGTAAAAAATATAATGTAAAGGAGATGAATATACATATAAAAGATAAAATAAAAAGGAAAAAGTAATATTTATATGTAAGGATAAAAATATAAAAAAGAAAAAGAAAAAAAAAGAAAAAAAAGATGGGAAAAGATGATACAAGATCACTCCTCCACACGAATATCCGCCCTCCATTTTGCTCTCTCCAAAGCCATACCCTCATCCAATCCAAGAAGAAGCATATCACTTCTGACTCCCCTAACCCACGTCTGTTTGAGCCTTCCTCTCCCTCTCTTCCCTGCCTCTTCTCCACACATCTCAACTCGTCTAACAGGTGCATCACTCGGTCTTCTATGCCAGGGGCGGACCTATATGGGTTCAAAAGAGTTCATGTGAACACCCAAAGATTTTGTTTTTTGTAAAAGAATACATAGATAAATTTTCTGGAATTTTTTTTATAAATAAATTTGAACACCTAAAATTTGAAAAATAAATTTGAACACCTAAAACTAACTTGGTAGATCCGCCACTGTTCTATGCACATGACCAAACCACCGTAGGCGCGACTCCCGCATCTTATCTTCAATAGGTGCTACACCCACCCTTTGTCTGATTGTCTCATTCCTCACGAAGTCCTTTCTAGTATGCCCACACATCCAACGCAGCATGCGCATCTCTGCCACACTCATCTTTTGAATGTGACATTGTTTCACCACCCAACACTTCGTGTCATACAGTAATGCAGGCCTAATTGTTGTCCTATAAAATTTACCCTTCAGTCTAGTCGGCATACCTCGATCACATAGAAATCCTGACGCACTCTTCCACTTCATCCACCCTCTTCTGATTCTATGGGATACATCTCCATCTAACTCACCGTCCTTCTGAATTATGGATCCCAAGTAACTGAACATATCGCTGACCAGTATCTCCTTACCATCTAAAGTAATTCCTCTATTACCACTGCTTCTACCTCTACCAAACTTGCACTCCATGTACTCTGTCTTGCTCCTACTTAGTCTGAAACCCTTGTTCTCCAATGTTTGTCGTCATACTTCCAACTTTGCTTTAACCCCTGATTGCGTCTCATCAATCAATACAATATCGTCGACAAACATCATGCACCACGGTATATCGTCTTGAATTGACTTTGTAACTTCATCCATGACTATGGCAAATAAAAAAGGGCTTAGAGCCGATCTTTGGTGCACTCCGATAGTAATAGGGAACTCCGTGGAAATTGTTAAAGTGAAAACAAATAAATTAATTAGTAATATACTCCGTAGTGAAATTGTTTTATATAGTAAATTGAGTAATGAATTGATGATGTGTCAATCTCTTGGATTCTAACAATAAGTATTAGAAGATTCACAATTTCTTAGATAAACAGTTCTATTGTTTTCTAGGTATACACAATTCTGTGAAATGAAAATAATATATTTCACACGTCCTACTTTATTTTGTAAAATGATTTACAAGATTCATTGAATACTCCGTATAAAATTATTTCTTCCTTGACAGAATGAGCATGCGTTTTCAATTTGGGGGACTTCATCCCTATGAAGGGGGATATGTCCCTATCCTTTCTACGGAGTTTAGATAGATGCTCCATGAGTGCTATAGGATTGAAAACACATGTCTCATTTTGTGAGAAAATGAATCTCAAATCCTACCTAGCGGTGGTTTGGTACAGTATCCCGAATATTTTCTCTCATACCTTTGCCGTATCAAAACTTTCGGTATACAAAATTTATATACCGTTACCTTACCGAAGTTTCGGTATACCGCATTTCGGTATACCGAAGTTTCGGTACGGTAACGGTACGACATCGGTAAATTACCATAGATGTCATATTCAATATTGAACCATAAAATACACTAAATCGGTGTTACTAGCGACATATTTAATCCATTATTAAAATGTTTCAAAATACAATTAATAATCTATTGATGTCATATTCAATATTGAACAATAATTATTTTTAGTATATTTAATTAAGTAGTTCAACATGCCACGTATATTAAAAAGTAATACATTCTCCTAAAAAAACTTGAATAATATAGATATAATTAAATCAATAGTGATCTCTAACAAAAATAAATAAAAAAATTTAAAACAATATGGATACAAAATCATTTATTCCTAATATGATGGTGTATTTAGTCATTTTACAATTTTAAAAAAATATTTAAATAAGACTTTTGGACAAAGTTGTATGTTTTGACTCGCGGAATCCCTATGTAGATACACTCGTCAGCGGCTCAGTCATCGCGACTCGCGAGCTGGACTTGTTTCTAGACATTAGTACATTACTCATTAGTCGTTAGGGTAGTTTATTTGAATGCTACGTAATAGAAGCCTAGGAGGTTATAGTGAGTTTGGGAAATTGAGCTTATATTTTTGTATTTTGATATTTGTAACCAACCTAAGTATGGAGTATTAAGTTTAGGCTTCAAAATTGTAATAGATTTTTACAATATTTTAGAATTTAAAGTAATTTTTGTTTTGGGAGTCGGTACGGTATTATACCAGTATACTGCGGTATTTGAAAACATTTACCGTTACCGTACCGAAATAAATCGGTATGGTATGATACCGTACCGAAAAATACCATACCAGTATTTTTCGGTATGATAAGTGCGATATACCGATTTTTCGGTATTTTTGCCCAGCCCTAATCCTACCCTTATTTGTAATTGCTCCCAATTGCAATTACATTTTCTATACTTTCTCTAATATATACTCTGTACTCTGTAATACGTAATTTATTTATATTCGTAAGTATTACTCCGTACTACTACGTATATGAAAGAATAACTAAAAGTTTTTATTTACAGTAATTCTATAAATTCAATTAGTAAAGTAATTTCAATTTTACTTATTTTGATTATTATATAGTCGAGTTCACGAATTAAAAAGTTAAATATTTAATATAAAAAATAAATAATAATATTGAAAGGTTAAAAATAGAGATTACCAAATGCACAATTTAACAAGAGTGAGCTAAGTGATTCTTCATCCAAATGTGTTTGGTATGAGTAAGTGAATATTTTGAAGAATTGGCATTTTCCTTGATACAGGCCTGAACTTAGTGGTGCAAACGACGACAATGGGGCGAGCAACCTGGGAAGCAGCAGTGGCCTCGATCCGCCGGTCGGCGCTCTCCGTCACTCTTGTTATCTTCTTTCTGATCCAGCCTTCAATCTCTATATATTGCGACGAAGACGACTGTTACGATCTCCTTGGGTGATTCCTATATCTCTTCTTGCCTCTACTTTGAACCCTGTCAATATACATTATTTCATATTTTCTCTTCAATTTTCAGAATCTCTCAAAATGCCAATTCCTCTGAAATTAAAAAGGCGTACTATAAGCTTTCTCTGAAATTGTAAGCTTTCTTCGTCTTCATCATTATTATTATTGCTCCGTGATCCCTTACGTGGGTATAGTTTCTTACTTAATTGTTTTGCTTAGTCATCCAGACAAAAATCCTGATCCAGAATCAAGGGCCAAGTTTGTAAAAATTGCGAATGCCTATGAGGTAGGGACAGTGATTATATTTTAATAAATCCTTTAAAAATTACTACTCCCTGTTGATATTATTTACAGTTTGACAATGGTAAGCCCTCTGATAGTTGTGCATGGCATATATAGTTGCGAGTATTTGTGGACCTGTGGTACCACCGAAGTGATGCACCCCTAAATTTGTAGGATGATATTGTTTCTTTTTATTTTTTATTGGTTGTTGAAGAAAGTGATCTAGTCTAAGAGAGAAGTGAAACTGTTTCTGGCCTCTTCATTCTTAGTCCCTTCATTGAAGGCAAATATGAGTAGAAACTTACACTTTCAGAAAATGTAGAATGCCATAGAAGCTCTCAAATGTAGTTGCATAAAGAGTTGCAGAGAATGGGAAGGTTTATTCAGTTTTACCAGTTGAGATGCTACATTTTTTTGCAGTTAAATGCATGTTGGTGAGAAAACGTAGTGATAGCGAAATAGGTGTTCATTATTCTATGAAGAGTATGGATGTCAAAATCAGTAGTGTCTACTATCTGGTGTTAGATGAAAATGAATCGAGCCACACATAAAAATAAACAGAGCAATAATTTATTTCACTCCAATATCCATTTCTATGCATCTTGTTTACCATAATATTTTATTCATTAACCGATTGGTACCATGATTAGCATATTATTAGTAGGTAGTACTTGATAAGCTGAATCTTTTCTTGCAGATACTGAAAGATGAAGCTACAAGAGAACAGTATGACTATGCTATTGCCCACCCAGAGGAGGTTAATAGCTTTTTCTTGTTGCACTGGTTATGATACCATTATATGAACTAATACAATTGATGTACTCTGTCAAGTATATACTCCCTTTGTCCCTAAATAATGATCACACACTACTCTTGTTCCCATCTCAAACCTATCACCCATCTTGTTTCAAGGAAACCAAAATGTGGTTCATAATATTTCTCTCCACTAAAAATAGAGTAAGCATAGAGAAACAATTTTTTGCTACATTTTGTGGCCACATTTCTTTGTGGCAAGTATCAATTGGATGATTAAAAGTTGTGTGACTTTTCATCATCTAGTAGACGCTTGCCATAGAGAATAGCCACAAAATGTACCAAAAAGTGTAGTAATAGGTTTATTGCTTAACAAATATCAACCTCTCGGTTTTCATTTCTTAATCTCTTTGCCCAGTTAATTTGGATTTTATTTAGGGACGGAGGGAGTTATTATAGTTTTATTTTTCAGCACTCAAGTTCTTTGAAATGCATTTTAGTTCATTCATGAATTTATGTTTAGACATTATTCTTCTGCCCATGCTCTTTTCATACAGTTCCATTTGCAACGAGTAAACAGTAAAAAAAATAACCTGGATGGGGTTTTGACTTTTGAGGATGCGGTCCAGCCCAGTTAGTCGCCGACTCACTCTCCCTTACGGGAGGTCTTGGGTTCGAAACTCAATGGACTGAGTTTCAGCCCTGATTATTCCAGGCCCCTCAGCCCCCTTCCCCAAACGCCCCCTGGAGTAAAAAAAACAAAACCTGGATGGGGTTTTACCTGATGATAGGAAAGTTGTTTTTTAAACAGATATGGTTTGAGTAATTGAGTATTCTCTCAATGTTTATAGTCTACGAAACATATGTATTCTTAATTTCTCATACATGTAAATGCCTAAATAGCCTATTATATTGTTGAAACTAAACTGGTGCTTTATCTCTGTTAGATATTCTATAATACAGCACGATACTACCAAGCGTACTATGGCCACAAAACTGTTAGTGTCTTCCTCCTGTACTCTTCTATGGCTGGTAAACTTTCAGTTTTCTTTTTTTTTCAAATACCTGCTTAACTATTTTTGTTCCATATGTTCCTATTTATAGGATCCTCGTGCTGTCCTTGTTGGCCTGCTTTTGATTCTCTCATTATTTCAATATCTCAATCAGTGGACAAGGTATAATCAGGTATTCACATGCCTTTCAAGTTCTATTTAGTATGTACAGTGTGGCTTTACAGTTCTTATGGAAAGAACATCTTGATGGCATGGAAGAATAAATAATACGCTGCCATAACTCACAATTTCTTAACTTGATTATCCTCCTGGAATGAAATATTCTACAAATAGTGAAATATAAACTGGTGATTCTAAGCACTGTTTTGTTTGCATTTTAGTGTTTTATGATCTCTAACTCTAAGGTTTAAATGAAGTGCTCCTGGCATTGTCATCTTGTAACCATTTTATTTTGTGTGTAGAAAATAACTGATTTAATATATGTTTTCAAATCCTATTTATATACTCCCTCCGTCCCAAATTGATCTGCAATTTATGATTTTTAAGGTTGACTCTGAGGATAAAGTTAAATCCTCCCTACTGGTAACAGATAACTAAAGAAGTTTTACTAATTATATTTTACATATCTAGAAACTACATTGAAAGCTATACAAAGTTGCAAAATCCAAATTAGAAAATGATATCTTAATTAAGTAAATAAAATCCAACTGTGTTGATAAAAAAGTAAACTATGAAATAATGAAAATCATTTTGGGATGGAGGGAATATTATTTTCTACTTAAAGATTGAGAAACCTAAACCTATGTAAAAAAAAGTAAATCACTAATCACATTTCATTTTCCCTTTGCACTTTAGTGGTAAAACCAAATAACAACAATAATTTTTTTTCTCATATGTAGCATCTTATATGATCCAAACATGCCCTTGCTGACTGCAAATTAAATCTTTCTTATTGTGTGTGTTGTTTCACATTCCGATGCACATGACATCTTCAAATTACTTTGTAGTTACTAATTCCTTGACAACTTCAATTGTGTTCGAGTAATAGAAGTGTATTGTACTTTTGGAGTTCTATGTATTTTTGCATGGAGTATTACATAGTTTAAAACTTTGAATATTATCTAATGGTATATAATCATATTTAAAAGATTAAAAGGTCATTGTCAGACAAGATTTCTAGTCTAGCAATAATATTCCTCTCAAGTTGTGCACTTATTTCAGGCTATTGACATGGTCAAGAAAACACCAGCTTACAAAAATAAGCTGCGTGCTTTGGAACTTGAACGCAGTGGAGGTGTTACAAGTAAAAAGAAGAGCAACAAACCGATGGATAAGTATGACCTTATTTTAAATTTTAGTAAACCACCTTGTAAATGTCAGTTCATGTTGAGCATTATTTTGTGTCAAAAGATAAGATACTACTCCCTCTATCAATTAAAAGAGTCATGTTTCGAAACTTATTTTTGTGCTTAAAGAGTCCTATTTCATTATTACAATAAGGTAACAAATAGTCATTAAGTTAAATTAAACTTTCGTATGATTATAAGACTTTCAAACAAGCTAAATATGTTACGTTTAGTTTTAAAAAGAAAATTATAAAGACATGCGAAGGATTGATAATTTAGGAGTGGCAATTTACCAAAATTAAAAAGTTGTACATCAATGAAACCCGTTTCTTCATTTGGGACACGTTAGTTAGTTTATGTCTGTTTTGTATTTGTTCAGCTCAAATTTGATTGTGTGGTGATCAGGTGAGTTTCTTACGCGTGGCAGGAAAATGGAGGAAGAACTGAGTAAGGAACTCAATCTGCAGATTAAAGGAGCTGAAATACCATCTATTTGGGAACTTGTTGGAGTTCGTTTCCTGCTACTTCCTTACACTATTGGAAAGGTTCGTGTAGCCTTACTGAGTGTAATGATGTGAAAAGCTCTCGATGTGAAAGTGTGAAACAATACTGAAAACACCCCTTCCTCCCAAAAAAACAAGAAATCGTGTTTCAAAAGTTTGTTAGGTCCTATCCTGTCTTATTCGGCCAGATGAAAGTAAGTCATTTTGAAATTTGACAAAAAAGTAGAAAGAAGTTTAATACGGAGTATGATAACTTTAGTTAAACCAGTTTGCAAAAAATATATTAATCGTTCCATGAATTTAAAATGTTCTACCTTGCCAAAACTAAAAAGTTACGAAGTATATCTTGACTAACCACGACCTGTTCTTGTGTAAGAGAGGGAGTATCAAGTAATATTAGTAATTATGATTTTAAAACAGTAAGAAGCTCTGAAAGTTTCTGTTCACAGCTTGTATTGTGGCATGGTTGTTGGTTGTGGAGGTACACTGTCAAAGGGGCTCCGTACTCTAGGGAAGATGCTTCTTACTTGACTCGAAGATCACTTGGTGTTCCTATTGATTCATGGAGATACATAGGTAGATTTTCATCCCAACCTATAGTCTTCTTCCTTGAAAGCATTTTCTTATTGTTTTCCCATTTACCTCCTTTTTCTAATTTTTGCATCTTCCATCTCCAAATATGTTTACCATCATCATTTCTTTTTATTAGACTAATAATGCAGGTTTCTTTTCATTTGCTTCCCTTTTTCAGAAGAGTCAGCAAAGGAAGATCTTATTCAAAGACGGCTGTGGGAGAAATCCAACCTTGAGAGCTACCTGGCAGAGTCGCGAAAGGAATCAAAACGGCGAAGATAGTTCATAACAATTCAACTTGAAAAATTCTAGGATGTGAGTAGGTATTGATAGTGTATTTCTCACATTAAAGGCAATGAGATACGTGTAACATTACTACTTGATGAAGACCACATAACTTCTGCCAGATCCATCAGTGGATTGTCAATTTGGTGAAGTGTATCTTTTCCATGTTGAATTCATTTTTTCAACAGAACATAGAATGCTGCACTTATAGAAGTTTTGCCAGGCACCCTTTGTGCTGTGTATTGTTTGTCACAAATGACAATTTGCTGAACTCTTACCCCTTACTCCGTCACAAATCACAAACCACAAATCCGACAATGCAATTGTTTTAGCTTAAGACAGAAGACAGACACCAATAATAGCTATAGCACAAGCCTTGTAATTTTCACTGTCATGGAGTAGAACGGCAGAAGAAGAAATAAAACTTGAAGATTTGGTCATTCAACTAAAACAATCTTCAATCGAGTCATTAATAGAGTTGTGTAGTACTTGCTTGTGGAGTGATATTTTGTGATTACATATAGTGTGATTGTAAAAATTTGTAGATCTTAAAAATAATACTGTTTTTTACATGATAAATGTGCCGTTTTAAAGTAGAATTTGGAGTATTTGATAACATAACATTTATAATGCATCTTTATTGCTTTAGGGAAACGCACTTATGGTGAGAATTGAAAGAACCCCTTTTGTTGATACATCGTCCAAATACAATAACTTAACAATAGAACCCCAATATATTATTACCTCACGGGCTCACGGGATTAGACTTCGAAAGGCCGCAAAGGGAAACTATGAAGTCTAAAGTAGAGAAAAATTCTCTATATATGAGTAAACGAAACACACTATGCACATATTATAAGAACAGAAACAACACTATTTTTCGAGGGATAAACGTTACTGAAATTGAAACGATACACAGATTCGCATAAAAATGTCAGCTAAAAATTCAACCGGGAAGACAGTCAAATGATTTTTTGAAGATAACTGCGCAGTTAAACAGTGCAGTACATTTCGGAAAATCATTTGACTGCCTTCCCGATTTAATTTTTAGCTGAAATTTGATATGGATAAACTAGACTTAATGAAGAAGATGCTCAAAAAAATTCATCAAAAAATTCCACCGGGAACCGCCCCAATTGACGACGGTTGGGCAGAACCTCCTATATAAGGGGCTAATTGAACACTTTAAGTTAGTTCATGTACCTATTTGACCCTTTAGCTAAAGGGTCAAATAGGTACATGAACTAACTTAAAATGTTCAATTAGCCCCTTATATAGGAGGTTCTGCCCGGCCGTCGCCAATTGGGGCGGTTCCCAATTGAATTTTTTGATGAAATTTTTTGAGCATCTTCTTCATTTAGTCTAGTTTACCCATACCAAATGTCAGCTAAAAATTCAACCGGGAAGACAGTCAAATGATTTTTTGAAGATAACTGCGCAGTTAAACAGTGCAGTACATTTCGGAAAATCATTTGACTGCCTTCCCGATTTAATTTTTAGCTGAAATTTGATATGGATAAACTAGACTTAATGAAGAAGATGCTCAAAAAAATTCATCAAAAAATTCCACCGGGAACCGCCCCAATTGACGACGGTTGGGCAGAACCTCCTATATAAGGGGCTAATTGAACACTTTAAGTTAGTTCATGTACCTATTTGACCCTTTAGCCTTTTTTATAAATGTATACTTGAATTGTGTTATCCGTGTCTTAAGTTCGGCTATTCCCCTTTTTTCCAATTCATTCATCAGAGAATAAATAATTATCTCTTTTATAAAGTATAATCATGAATCCAAAACTATGTTGATGTATTTGTGATTCATCTATTCATTAACGCTCAAACAATTTCATTATTCTCTAAAACCGCATTGCATTGCTTTGACTTTCTTGAGAAGCAAGAAAGAAAATGTATGTTGAATACTTGCATCACACACATAACATATAATTGATCTACACAGGAGGAGCTGGGTGTTTGACGGAAAAGAGCATTTTTTTTTACATTGTATTCCAAAAAGTGCAATTTTATGGACGTTTTCTGAGAGAGTGCAAAACGGAGTTGGCAGGTCCGAATTTAGCTTGTCAGGAGCTCGAAAATGGACTCCGATAATTATGGTGGGGAGACCATTTTCGGAGTTGGCAGATCCGAAAGTAGGAGTATTTTATTGTTTTGAAGTTTTAGTGTTTTGGTGTTTTCGGAGTTGCAGATTTTTGAACTTTTGAAGTTTTGGTGTTTTATTGTTGCCTTCAATCCGAAAGTAGGAGTATTTTAGTGTTTTGAGGTTTTTTTATGATTGTTGTTATAAATTTTTTTTTTGAAAACTTATAAATCGTATATTGTTCAACATAATTAAAAATCATACAATAGTTGTATTTTAAGTTGAATTTGCGTCTGATTCCCGATTTAGATAAAAACATGCGTTTTACAAAAATTTGACCCATTAAAATAAATTAGCACACGTTTTACAAAAGTGACCCATTAAATGTTTTGAGCACAAATAGTAAAAATTTTGTTACATTTACATTAACAAAATAATGTTTTGAACGTAATTCAAATTATAAAACCGTACCCATTAAATAATGTGAACCCGGAAAAGATGATTAAAAGTATCGATATGTTAATATATTTAGAAGAACAAACTACATTGATTAAAAGTATCAATATATAAAATCAATGTGACGATTTTTAAAAATAGTTGACCCATTCAGTGTTATGAACTCCAAAGTAAATACAAATACAGTTTACAATATAACACGTATAATTTATAAGTGACCCATAAAGTCATACGAATTCAAAATTAAACAAAGTTCATTGCACAATAAGTCATATTAAAGGTACATATAAAACATATGGCTAATAAATATTTTAAAACATTAAAACAAAGTACAAAAAAAGATTACATTATAAGAGTACAAATACAAATCAATCATGTTGTCCTCTCCGTCTTGGACGCATATCCATCTCATTTGGAAATCTTGTTTCTTGACGGCGCCCAGCTCGAGAAGTTCTGGAAGAGTACTTAGGCAGTAGAAGAATGAACTCATTTTGTGGCCACTCATTCATATTCGGAAATGGCATGATATCACCGGAATGTGCATTTATGTAAGAACTCAGTTTGTATACCTCAGCCCTCAGGAATAAGATAATCAACACGACAATTTAGAAAATGGCACACAGAATGTGCATGGACACATGGCATTCCGTTCATCCTCCAACAACTGCAGTCACAAACACGTCTGGATAGATTAACCGTAACAGGTGTTGCATTTTCTACGGAGACCGAGTAAATTCCTGTGTAATGGTTGTGTGGAAGAACCACAGTGTGAGGTCTTTGTTGCCAACGCTCCATAAGCTCTTTCCGAATGTTGTCCGGAAAATGATATCCAGCTTGCTGCCACATCATACCGGCAGTACGACGTTGGGCGAAGAGCTGGACTAGTTTGTCAAAAGTCGCTCGCACAAGGGCACTGATTGGCAATGTCCTACATCCTTTGAGAGCATTGTTGAAACTTTCTGAAAGATTTGTCGTTAAAAATACCATATCGACAACCACCATCAAAACAAAGTGCTCACTTTTCTTGGGGAATGTCATTTAAATACTTGAAAGCTCTCTCGTTAGTACCCCCGAATTTGTTGCATGTAATGATGAAATTCACTTACAATTGGGGTACTTCCTGCTCGCCAACACAACTTCTTTAGTTGTTTACTTCTAAATTGGGTCATGAAATTGCTTCTAATGTGGCGAAGACAATAACGTCTCTGAATTTGAGGTGTTCCCAATTGTTCCACATTTCGAAATGCATAATCTATAGCCGCATGCCTATCGGAGATGATGCAAACATTTCGATCAGGGGGTATGATATGTGTCACAAGCAATTGTAAAGTGTATTCCGAGATATTTTATCTGACCTAAAATATTTTTATCTGATAAAGTGTATTTTTTTATCTGACACGAGACTTAGTATGTCATTTTATCTGACACTCCGTAATATTTAAAGTCATAAAAAATATATGCACACATTAATAATACAAATTGTATCAATAATAATAATAATGATGATGATGATGATGATGATGATGATGATAATAATAATAATAATAATAATAATAATAATAATAATAATAATAATAATAATAATAATAATAATAATAATAATAATAATAATAATAATAATAATAATAATAATAATAATAATAATAATAATAATAATAATAATAATAATAATAATAATAATAATAATAATAATAATAATAATAATAATAATAATAATAATAATAATAATAATAATAATAATAATAATAATAATAATAATAATAATAATAATAATAATAATAATAATAATAATAATAATAATAATAATAATAATAATAATAATAATAATAATAATAATAATAATAATAATAATAATAATAATAATAATAATAATAATAATAATAATAATAATAATAATAATAATAATAATAATAATAATAATAATAATAATAATAATAATAATAATAATAATAATAATAATAATAATAATAATAATAATAATAATAATAATAATAATAATAATAATAATAATAATAATAATAATAATAATAATAATAATAATAATAATAATAATAATAATAATAATAATAATAATAATAATAATAATAATAATAATAATAATAATAATAATAATAATAATAATAATAATAATAATAATAATAATAATAATAATAATAATAATAATAATAATAATAATAATAATAATAATAATAATAATAATAATAATAATAATAATAATAATAATAATAATAATAATAATAATAATAATAATAATAATAATAATAATAATAATAATAATAATAATAATAATAATAATAATAATAATAATAATAATAATAATAATAATAATAATAATAATAATAATAATAATAATAATAATAATAATAATAATAATAATAATAATAATAATAATAATAATAATAATAATAATAATAATAATAATAATAATAATAATAATAATAACAATAACAATAATGAATAAGCAGGAAGATGAATAAGTTACTAACCTTTGAATAGAGAGGATGAGAGGAGGGTTGAAAGGGGTTGGTTGAAGGCATGGGAGAATGGAGGTTGAAGGTCAATTTATAACAACAAACCGATCTGTAGCCAACCAATCACGGAGCCCGAAATCTCATCCTCTGGATTCAGAGTTGCCAAGTCCAAACTAAGGGGGTGTTTGGATCTGATTCTCAGAACTGATTCTGCTCCTTCAGGGAGCCGAAGCAGAAGCTGGAGTGTTTGGGTGAAATTCCAGAAGCACTTCTGGAGCTCTAATTTACTCTCAGAATCAGTTTTTTTAGAAGCTGAGGTACCAGCTTTTGAAAACTGATTCTGATTCTGCTTCTGTTCATAAATCCGAAACTACGAAAGCTGACCCAAAGCTGACTTATCTGAATTCGGAGTTCATAAATCCGAAAAAAATAAAGCACTTCTTCAACACTTTTAATTTTCGCCGTTTTGCCCTTTTTTGTCAAAAAATTCGAATCTCGCCTATTTGGAAACACCTGCAACAAATGTGTTCTGTTTCGTCATTTCCTCGGAGGGGCTTAAGGTGGGACACAGAGTGACAGAGTTATATAATATCTGAACATGATGTTATATCCGACAGTGTTTTTATCAAACTAAAGTTGACATATAAATGAAGTTTTGATAGACATAAGTCTTTACCTTCTAATTTTTGTACTAATTAAAAAGTCTCTAAAAGTTTGAGTTGAATGTTTTGGCATGACAACTAATAAGAGATTTTTTTTTTAAAACAAAAGATCTTTTTTGAGATGACAGAATAAGCTAAGTAGAACTAAATCAAAAAGACATTTTTTATCAAACAACAACCACCTTTTTATTTTAAGATCTTTACAGTCTCTAAAACTTTAGTAACTAAAAAGCTCATAAAAATATCTTTTCACCTAGTTGTGACAAACATACCTAGGGTCCCAGACTATGTTTTCATACTCTCTTCGTCCCGTATATAGGAAAAATTGATAAGAATAATCCCACCTTTCACTGGTCTTCTCATTATAATCCCACCTTCAAATAATCCCAAAATAATCCCACCTTTGCATCTCATCTTCTTTCATTGGACCCTGACCAATGTTTTTTACCTTTTTTAAAAATCTTATATAAATAATCTCACATTTATAAGGATATAATTAAAAAGTGAAAGGTGAGATTATTTGTATAATTTTCAAAGAAAGAGTAAAAAACATGGTCAGGGTCCAATAAAAGAAGATGAGGTGCAAAGGTGGGATTATTTTGGGATTATTTAAAGGTGGGATTATTATGAGAAGACCAGTGAAAGGTGGGATTATTCTTGTCAATTTTTCCTTTTATTTATTCTATTTTCTTTTTTTAGTTGTTTCAAAAAGAATGTCACATTTTTTTAAACAAATATGGGATACAATATTTTACTTAATTAGACTCAAATCTCAATTACAACTTTTACTTTTTTAACCACTTTATTAATAATTGTGTCAAATCAACATAGACATTTCCCCTTTACAATTAGGGCTGCCTAACACCTAAGCACCAATTAATCAGTCTAACTAGACCGATTTTTAGAAAGTGGACGGAGGTAGTACTTTTATTCCATTATGTGTAGGGGTGGACTGAACCGGGCCGGTTCGGGCCTCGGGCCTCAGTTCAGTAATAGCAGGCCCGAGCCCGAACCAGGGTAGGGCGGTCCCGCGTCCGGTTCCGGGCCGGACCGGGCCGGGCCGGTCGGGCCACCCGGTTTAATTTTTTTTTTTTCCTTTCTCCCCCCCCCCACCCCCACCCCCCAAACCCCCCCAAACCGGCCTAAACAGCTAGCCCAAGCCCAACAGCCCAAAAAAAATGAAAAAAATTAAAAAAAAATAGATTTGGCCCGGACCCGGGCCCGAACCGGCCGGGCCGGGCCGTCAAAACCATGAACCGAGCCCGGAACCGCCCCACCCCCGGGCCTCCGGCCCGAACCGGACCCGGACCCGGAAAACCGGGCCGGGCCGGGCCCGCACAGTAGCGGGTCGGGCCGGTCCCGGGCCGGGCGGCCCGAACCGAGGCCATGCCTGATTATGTGACATTGTGACAAGGTTTTTAAAATTCTACCTGTTACCAAATTCTAGCTTCAATCGAGAAAAGGAACAATTTTTATATAACATAAGGCTATTTAGGGCATTTATTCTGGTTTAAAAACAGTGATGAACTTCTTTTTTTGAGAATAAAGCAGTTAGGGACTTGGGATATAAGCTATGTTACTCCCCCACGTAACTTTCTACACCTCTACTGGCCTCGCACCGGTGCAAGTTTTTGTCATTTGGGTTCTCTCGCAAGATGTTGGCAATGGACCATCTTAATTCTTAATCAGTTCTCAATCCCTTTTGAAGTTTGATTTCAGAACCATACCAAACATTAAACGGGCATTACAAGAGTTGGTCAATTGGCTTATAGTCGTTTGCAATTTATGTACGACTTAGGGGGGGTTTGGAATTGATTTTACTTATGCTTCTTTTTTAAAGCAGAAGCAGAATCAGAATCAATTTTGAAAAGCTGGTCTCCTCCAGCTTCTAAAATAACTGATTCTAGGAGTAAATTAGTGCACCAAAATCACTTCTGCACTTTCACCCAAACACTCCAAACAAAGATCCAAACACCCCCTTAGTAGTAAAAACACAAAACAAAGATACAGACACAATCACATCCTTAGAAATAACCCAAAGGATAGAGTTCGACACTTCGACCGACTCTTGCAGCAAGTCACAAAGAATTCGGTGAGCTGTAAATAACCCGTTTATAGGAACGTCTTCAACAAAGGCATGCAAGTTCCTACAACCAATGTTCATTCTTATACATTGCTTTGCTTATAGCTACTGGTGTCAAGAACTTGCTTCCCACACATAGCACACACTCCTTCAACAACAAAAATAACTTCAATTAGTGCGTCACAAATCAAATTAAACTTTGACATGACCGGAGTATGTAATAAATAAATAAAAGCAACACGTACTATATATACTAACCTTTGCTATATGCACAGGTATGACAATACTTTCCATCTTGATGTACTTGTTGTTTACATATAATGCACTTCATAGTTCCGTATGGTGTCCATCTGCAAGGCAGTACACATTCACTTATTTTTATAATAAACTGGCGATGTGATTATCACACAAATATACTCATGAGACGAAAACTCATTCTCAACAACAGTTTAAGATGAAACCAATCTTAAATATTCATTCTGTTGAACATCTTACACCACTTTGCATTTGAAAGGAAAGAAAATGTGAGACTGACAAGTAAATTTATGGTCTCAAATGAAATCTGTTAACATGGGGAACTTGTGACAGTAACTTTTGCGGAAAACCTAACCAAATGCCACATGATTAAAACAATCAAACCACGGCTACATAAATATATATAGGGGAATATTAATTAAAATACCCTAAACATTGGAGATGTGTGAGATAAATATGAGCACACACACAATAAAAGTTCTTATTTGACGTGATAAGTTTCTCTTAGCAATATTGCTCTATTATCAACCTTATTCTCCTTTTATAATCAAAATTTCAAAATTAAATAAGTGAACTTTTAATATTACAGAGGATGGACTAGGCTCTCTGAATTGAATCAGTGTATGTATTACAGGTATATAGAGGTGATGGCGTGACGCGTCATCTACTGAGTCTTTATTGATGATACTATTATTTTCGTTACTGGAACTATAAAGTTAAAAAGACAATTAAGCTCGTTAATCATTTGTTATCCACTATATCCATACAGCTCATTTTACTATAAAAGACATCATCAGAACATTGTGGCTAGTTTCACTTTTTGTTTCAAGATTTCCCAGTGCTTGGAGTTTCTCCACACAAGGGAAGATAGAAAACCACGCTTTTGGAGAAGTTATCTAATAGATTGATGGGACGGGAGTTAAAATTTAAATCTTTTGAAGAAAGGTTGAAATTATTGCAGTCTTTCTTGAATTGTATATCATTGTATTGAAATGCTGAGTCACCCAAAGATTTTTTTGAATACCATCAAAAGGGAGCTGATTTAGTGAAGAAATGATCTTCGGCAAATTTCTATAAATTCTTTTGGAGCAGTCCTATTCCTCCTAAAATGCTATTTTCTTTGATGCGAAGGGTTTTCAAGAATTGGAGATATTATTGAATCTAGATTTCACATTGCTTTGGCTTCTAGGTGTGATTGGTGTAACTATGTAAATTTTTAAAATCAATCGATTGATCATACTTTTGACATTGAGATCGGACAAAAGATTATTGGGACAACAGATTATCACTTTACATGTTTCTGCAAATTTACATGGATTGTAGTGTGGTTACTACAGAAGTTAAAGTTGTCTTGGGAGGCTTAAAAGCATGCCTACAGTTGGGCTATTATCATATTTGTGTTGAGGTTGATTCTCATAAGGCTGTTAATCTGTGTAGTGTTTACATTGATAGGAATTATTAATAAGTGGGCCTATTATTATAGATAATAATAAGTGGGCCTGTATTTTTAATGGAAGGGAGAGGGTTATGGGCTATAAATAGTTGGGTAAATAACTATTGAGGCAGGCGGTGATTGAATTGGCATTTTGGCTTAGGAGAGTGGGCTTCTCGAACAGTCCCAGCACTTGTATACGTACGGTGTTTCGCTCATTATCAATAAACATCTTCGATCATTAATTCATTACTCTACATATTTCTCATTGATATGTTATCGTTTGTTGTTATATTACCTGTGATCTATCATTGGTATCAGAGCAGTGGTTTGGCGATTGCTAGTTGTTGAGACATCGCCAGATTTGTCCAAAAGCGTCGTTCGGATCGTGGATGGTTCGAACGAGAGGAAAAATGGAGCAACGTTTGGAAGCAGTGGAACGCAGTGGAACGCAGTCGGATCTCAATGGAGGAAACACTGCTGCGGATTGAGGCGATGATGCAGAACATGACCCGGAGAATGGATACGATGAGCGATGAATTCCGTCAGAGGGGGAGATCGCGATCTGTTCGCAGTCATCCATCGCAGTCATAATAAGTGGGCCTGTATTTTTAATAGAAGGGAGAGGGTTATGGGCTATAAATAGTTGGGTAAATAACTAATGAGGCAGGCGGAGATTGAATTGGCATTTTGTCTTAGGAGAGTGGGCTTCTTGAACAGTCCCAGTACTGTGTTTCGCTCATTATCAATAAACATCTTCGATCATTACTCTACATATTTCTCATTGATCTGTTATCGTTTGCTGTTATATTACATGTGATCTATCATACATACACCACCTTGGTTTGTTCATGGGAGATCACATGCTTGATGATGACGATTTGGAGGCTAAAAAGAAAACTGGCAATTCAGCTTCTGCCAAACTTCGTTTTTGTGACCTATGTTCTACTTCTATTAATACATCCTTTTAACAAGGCATTGCTCTCCAATTTAACTTTCAATAATA